TGTGCCAGGTTGAACAAGGTGCTGGGGCTGTATGCACGCGTAGGACAATGTCCCCGCCCTTCTGAGACTCACATCTAGAAGGGACACAGATGATAAACAAATAAGAGAATAAACATGTGATGTCAGTCAGGAAAATGTTTTAGAAAAAAATTAAGCAAAGCAAATACAAAGAGAAAAGGGAGGGACTATTTTTAGAATTCTTCAAAATACGTGGGGTGGATGCTGACTCACTGTGGGGACCTTGGTTTGCCCGCCTTATAATAGGGGTATTGTTGTATTGACCAGTCTGGAAGGACCCTGCTGAGCCCAGAGTTCCCAGTTTCTGTGGTTATGTAAGGCAGTGGCTGGACATTGCGTGGCCACTAAAAAGTCAAGGATGTCATTATCTAGAAATGGAGAAGGATTTCCCTGGAGCGAGGACGACCAGAGAGGGTTAGCACCATTCTGGAAGGGAGAGGCCCACAATCCAGTCCCTGGGCTGTGCTGAAAACGACAGGATTCCACATTGACTATGTGTGAGGAGAGCTCTGGGGAAGGGACTGACTCTAGAAGAGAGATTTCTTTGATCATAAAAATAGAAAAAAAGTATGTGTTAGGTATGGTATTAATAAGTATGCCACTGTCAACATTCTTATCAAGTTAAGAATTATATTGGCCCTCAAATTACAAATGAAGAAACTTGAGGCAAGAACATTTTGTATGCCTTTAATCCCAGCACCCAAGAGGTTGACTACATAGAGAGATCCTACCTCAAAACACTAATAAACAAACACCCAAAACAACTAAAAAAAACCCCAAAATATACCTATAAATCTGAAGATAACTATAAGCATGCCTTAGAAGAGATTCTCAGAACACAGAGAACAGGAAATTAATTCCTTAATTCCAAGGGACTGGGGCAATTCTATAGACAAGCTTTCGCTCAACTGTAGACATGCCACTTTTCTATTTGTATGTTCTCTAAATTATTTTAACCAATTTTATTTTTTGAGACAGGGTCTCACTATGTAGTCCAGGCTGACCATGAAATGTAGCCCAGGCTGGCATCAAACTTGGGACAGCCCTCCTTTCTCTCCCGATTATAGGCATGTGCCACCATGCCTGTCCTAAATTATTTTAAAATTATGTACTTTTTAGGGAGCACCTAACATTTTTATATATTTATTATTGGACTTTATTAGTACATATATGTAGTACATAATGATTACATTCACTGTAGGGGATTGGTACATATACAAAACACATTTCAATTCCCTTCTTTCCTCCCCACCTCCCCTCTATTTTTCCAGTATCAGATTCATTTATTTATCTTAAAAGACCTTAAAGTTAATTATCATATATACAGACTGAAAATTAGACTAATAGTTGAAAGAACATATGAAGCACCTAAGACAATTGTACTAAGTCAAGGTATACTTTCTAGATGCGCTGTCCACACTGTATCACAATATCTCTTCTTCTCTTTTTTTCTTATTATCTGTCTTATTTGGGGCACCTAACATTTCCTATCAAAAGTTGAATAGTTGTGAAGCTTGTAATTTCCAGCAAATAAGTGGCTCATACCTGCAAAAGTAAAATGATTACATCTTTTTTTTTTTTTTTTTT